ATATTTCATTCATTGGAAATGTGCTACAGTTTTATACTGTTTGTAGTTTGCATATGAAAGTGGTTGTTGATGTCTCTCCAATTATTCGACGTTGTTGACAATGCGATAACAATGCCACTCGCACTGTGCACATTTTAGCACTAGATCTAGTGCCATTTTAGCGCTAGATCTAGTGCCAATTTAGCGCTAGATCTAGTGCCATTTTAGCACTAGATCTAGTACTTTTTCGGATTAGTGCTACTAGCACTAACCACTCGTACTACGTCCATTTCGACATATTTACATACATGCAGAGCCACATGATTTGTTTTTCCCCCCTCAAATTGTTTTCCATTTTCTGCCATCAGATCTATTTTACTTGGCTCAAGAGGTTTAGATGTTCCAAAAATGCCACAGAGACTTGAAAGTTTAAGTGTTGCCAAGACATTTGAACCCTTAGAACCGGTCAGAGAAACAGACATACAGGTGAGAACCATTTCAATTGTTATTATAGTGTATGTAAATTCAAAATTGTTTTGACTGTAGTCACATGCACCAGTCTGTCCGGAGTATTTAGCATACACTTCCTTAGAAAGTGGCGACTTAAAACACACATCATAATCACTATTTTGTCATAAGTGTTGAACGTTGGCGTAGAAATTGAAATATCTGTGTTGTGTTGGGTGAGTTTTTAACAACAAAGAATTCCCATATCCTAGGGTTTACCAGATGTTTTATTTATGGGAAGGGGCCTGACTGAAATCCTGAAATCCTGACTGAAGTGCTCCTTCTTGTTCCCAGAACTGAAACCATGTAGTAGTTTATATATGTACAATGCATGTCATTATTTATTTTTTATGGCATTGGATGTTGTTGTGTTTTTTTGTAGGGTTTTCTCAGAAATGAAAGAGAAAATGCTCTTCTTGCCACCATTGAAGAAACTCGGAAAAATGTAGGTTAATATATTGTGTAGTTTTTAATAGTGACTCTTTGAACACTAATAATCATCTATATGCTATTAATTGTTATTGATTTGTAACTTTACTATATACATGTATATGTACGTGTACATTGTCGCATACGACTTGTTTACCACTTCCGTGTGACTCAGAATGTTCTAGAACCGTACTGTGTCTGGGTGGAATTTTTAGAAGCTGGTTGAATAGGTAATAGGACACTGTAGAAGGCAATAGAAGGTAATGGAACATTCTAGAAATTTGTAGTAAATTCCAGACTCATTATGTATGCTGATGTAATGGTCTATTTATAGACAGTATGGGTATATATAGGGGAGTTGTTCAGCACTGAGATCAGATCGGAGATCTCGTTGAATTGTATTGGAGTTTAAGTATCTAGTTATTGGAGTAGTGGAGTTTTACCACGTTATTGTACTTGATGTTTGCAGAGTATAATAATACCAGTACCAGTTGAAACCTCATCTGTTGGCTCCGTGTTTGTATTTTATCATCGCCGCCAGGGAAGTCTTTTTGTTACTGTTGCCATTTTGGTATTTGAACCATCATACCTGTACTATACCAATTACGGTAATATTACGTTGCGTGTGACATACATGTATGTGTGTGTGAACAAGGATCTGTCAACTCCTCTAACAAATCACAGACAATTTTGTTCAAAATGAAATTTTATTGCATATTCCAAAAAAAAAAACAAGATTCAAAGATGGCAGACTGAAAATTTAATTAAGGTCTGGTAATAATTCTATTATGATTTGTGTATTTTATTATCAGGGTAAATCACTCCACAGGTATTTAGTCCACTCATGTAAAACATATGGTTGATCATTATATTTTGACTTGTTTCTATCGTCTTTTATTAAATTTAAAAACCTACTCAATATGTGGACTATATTGATATTTTAACCCAAAACAGTAAATATGAAGTAGGCTGAATAGAAATTTTAAAACGAAATACACTTAAAATGCAATCTTATTAACATAGTCTGATTCTGATAATCTGATTTCACAAATTCTATGAAAATACCTTCACCCCTGTCACAGAACACTATTAAAATTCTATTTGTTTTCAGTGCTAGATTTATAATAACCCCAGCTATAGCAAATATACTGGAGTCTTATTTTTGTTAGCGAAGCAGAGAAACAAACGAAGGAAGCTTGGGTATAATTACATAAAAATGTATCTAAACATTTCATTGTTGTTTGCTCATTTCATAAATATGCTAATTTTGCAGACATTCAATCAAGCTGAGAAACATCACTGGGATTGCATGCTGAGTGAGTGGGAGCAAGAAAAACAGAAAATCTTGAACGCTTTGATAGGTGCTGGTACCGATGTATTGGATATACCGCAAGAAACCGAGAGCATATTAAGTGATTCCATCACCATGCAAGGCAGAAGTGCTATGGATAATGTAGAAATGGCTTATTCTAGACAGGTCAGTTTAAACACACCACCTGTTGTTAGCCTCCATATATAGCCAACAATGAAAGTGAAAAAACTGTCAGCAAGGAATGTGTTAATTCCTTCCACTGCCTTACAGAATTCACTTTTATATCTTTCAATTTTCAACACTAATTAGTGACGAAATAGAATGAACCTGATATGGCTTTTTGGTGCAAAAAATATTTGTCAATATCAGTGAAAGTTGTCGTCACAGTATCTTTTCATTCTACAGAGATGTAGCCAATCAGATGATTAGATATATATCCCTTCAGAAACTCTAGAGAAAAATATCTGTCATTGTTTATGATTCCTGGTGATTGATTTGTGAGAGTAAGACTGTTTTTCCGTGTCCCATAGTTGATCACCCCTACCTCTTATTTGCCTTTGATAACATACACAAATACTCTTATATTGATAATATTGTGTCATATTATTTAATGTTGTTTTCCATCTTCAGCTCTTCATCTACAATGATAGAATAGTACACACAGGGAATAAACCAAATCTTATTGAATTATTTCAACAAGTTGCAGACAAAATTGATGATGAGGTAAGAGTCGTTGTCTCTTGATTACCCAGTCTTTTTGACTGGAAATTACATATGTAATTACATATGCCTTTATGTAATTTGTGTATCCGTCAAATTTTAATACCATAACATGCCTTTATTAAGAAATACTTATAGAACTTAGTTTTCAGTGTGTGTCCAATACAAATCCCACAAGTATGAATTTATATACAGTCAAACCTTTGCATATTGACCACTAGACAATGTAAAGAAATTTAACTTTATAAACAGGAGAAAACTTAGATTATTTCTATGGAGAAGTTAATTATTTCATGCTTGAAAATATGTAAATTCTCGGTTTCAGAGACACATTGTCACTTAAATATTTTGAAAAAAAATCTACTTCTTTGTCGTGATTAATAATATAATTGTGCATTTGCCTCTCTTCTTTGGTTTTTGGGGGCATTTTAAATTTTGTTTGGAAATAGAAAAATATTTGGCCAGAAATAGTAAGGTAATTTTTAATAAAAAATGGGGTAAGTTGGCAGAGCTTATAGAGATGGTAGAGTAATTCTTGTAGCGTATCTGAACTGCAGGATATTGCATATTTTGTTTCCACAAGTTTAGTTGCAAATCGTTCTAAGCCATTGATTTTGTATTATTTAAATGTAATAATTCTAAAAACAGTGCAGAGTATGTTTAATAAGAGTACATCATTGTATAATCATCCTTGGTACTCATCCATTTTTCTTTTATTAATTTTTCTGTTCAGTCTTTTTTCTTTTTACTTGTGCTGTATATGTATTTTGTAATGGAAAATAAAATGTATATAATTGTGCATAATTAAATACAAGAAAATGTTAGTACCAACGCATGCTGGATGACTACAATTATCAGCTTGTTACTACTGTCTTTGAATTGAAACTGTCAATACGGAGACAAATGTGAAAACAATAAACATATAATACTACAGCTTAAATGTTTCATCAATAGAATGTCAAGGATATGTGGATTGCTGTAAAAGCTATGACAAGAGTGGCTTTGAAAACTCAGTCGTCCATTGTCTTAGCCCGTGCTTCTAAAGAAATGCAAATGGGATTCGTGAAGCAGGCCAGGGAATACTTGGAAGAAAGGTAAGAGTTGTTTATCATACATCTGATGAACAAAGCAGCCAGAGTGAAGTGAAGTGAAGGGAAAGTTATATGTGTAGCAGTGGCAAAATGTCTCTTGTCCATTTCATTTTTGTCCATCATTGATGTCATTGTCATAAACTATTCCATTTTTGTTATTTCTTGACTCAAGGGCATTTTCTGAAATGTTCAGTGCTACAAAATGTTCAGGAATTTATGTCTTCTTTGTCTCAATTTACAGTATGATGTATAATTTCATATTTTGTACAATTCAATATTTTTTGTAATTTCTTATTTTTTCCCAGTTACAAAAAGTTTATTAGCACCACCATATATGGAAACCTTCAGCAGGCACAGCTTGGTGGAATTCCAGGCACCTACCATCTTGTCAGAAGTTACCTGAATATCAAATTACCTCCAAACACACCAGGCCTGGAGGTAAGTAGCCAAGTATTTTTTTTGATTTTGTTTTATACACCTAATCTGTGTTTTCATCAGCTATTAAATTGAGTGACAATGACAAAGTTGTGTTGCAAGCAATATTCCTTGCACATCTGTATTGTCAGCATTTTTATCTGTAATAACTTACCAGTATTAGGTTAGGGTCTAATAAGGAGCACTATCAGTCATTTTAGGTAAAATAGGTAAAATGTCATGATTTGTTCCATTTAAAATCGTTCGGTTTTCACAGGATGGCGATGTAGAAGGGCACCCTGTCTGGGCTGTCATCTATTATTGTATTCGATGTGGTGACTTACACGGAGCAATGCAAGCTGTCAAAAAAGCAACGTAAGATAATCTATTTGTTGATCTTACTGATTACATAGTGGAGGGTATTAAATTCTGTGGTTGTCATGGTTTCACATGATTGTTATGGTTCTTTTGCAGTGGCGTTTACCTAAAATATCTAATTCCATGTTACACTGATATTTACTATGTTCACGTTACGGAATCTCGGCATGTGCCGAAATGTTTAATCTTTTGTGTTCGCAGAGGGATTACAGCAGTTGCGTTCACATTAGTTGGGACCCATTTAGAACCGACTCGGCTCGTGCTGAAATCACGCCCTCATTCGTCGATCTGTTATTTGACCCAAACATGGAAAATGATATGCATACTATGATAATAATAATTGCTATATTAAAATTATATCCATTTGTTATGGTATTTATTACGAGTAATGTGCACATGAATGACAAAGAAAATTCAAAAAACAATTGTGTCAAACACAGTACGCTTTTAGCACATACATCTATGAATACTATTGAGCTATGCTGTAAATCCGTCTGCATGAGATCCATGAAAGCATAACCATGTGTGTGTATGATACGATAAAGAGGTTATTACCCCAAAATAGTTGTGCATGTGGAATTGCTACTGATCTCTCAATGGGAGAGCGACTGTACCATTGGGAGGGGTTATGTGTTTTATGCACCACAAGAGGTTGGATAGTAATTGTAAATTTTAGTTTTATTTACTTTCATTATAATTAATTGCAGGCAAAATCTTGGTGAATTTAGAGAGTATTTAGAAGAGTACATGCACACAGAAGATAAAAGGTATTCACCCTCACCTTTAAATATAAATCCAGTGAATGTAATTTCTCTTATGGTAGAACATTGATACATGTAATCTACATTATTTAAATCTGGAATGATCTAAGTTATTATGTGTGCACGCTAATGCTATGTGTTTTGTGTTTCTAGACTGCCACCTAACACAGAGAGTAAAGTACACCTTCACTACCGGAGAGCTGTAAAACGAAGCAATGATCCATATAAACGGTGAGTATGAAACTTCATGATGATATTTTGAAAAATAAATTGCACAGTTTTTCTATCTCGTCTCCCCTCTAGGATTTTCTGAATAAGTGCACAGATTTTCTAGCATTTCCCATCCAAGAGTTTCTAATGGTCAACCGATTAGTTCAAAAACTGCCCTATGATGATAACATCCTTGCGCACATAGAATGGTATGACATATCATGTGAAGAATTCTATAGGACCTTTGATATTTGACACCATGTGGGTGTACATATCAGGGGGCTGAGGGCAGTCATCATTTTAAGATTTATTTACATTGCTTAGTTTTGAAACAGTGAAATTTTAAAAAAAAGTTCTTGAAAATAAATATTTACTGTATTTTTAAATGATGGAATCAACAATCAATAAGAATATGATTTCAGAAATATGTAAATTATAAATGTACAAAGAAAAACCAAATACTATTTTGTGTCTTCGTATGTCATCTACAGCCCAGCCACTGACTTGGAACTTGGAACCTCGAAATTTGAAATTGTCTTCGGTAAAAAAAAAAACGAGGGGGTAACTTGACACTCAAATTGAATTTTGAGAGTACACTTTTAACTCCAATGCAATCAGCAATATGAGCAATAAAGGGTACCAATCTGGTGACATTCAAGGAAAAATAAATATTGCTCTATTTGAAATTGTCTTTCAGGGCTGTGTACTGTATTATCGGTCACTGTGATCCCAATGAGAACCACTCTGATGTTGCTGATAAAACAGATGATTACTTGTGGATTAAGGCAAGTATCCACTCTGAGTAACAAAGCATATATGTGCTGGTACCTCAGATTTTAAAAGTGTGGGAATATAACCTACTAAAATTCCTGCCTTGATTTCTTGTATGAGAGCGAGGACCCGGGGAGGCTGTAGTTTTCATTCTGGAATTGCCGCATCAACTCATCACACCCTACCCTGCAATGCAAGTGAGGGTACTAACAACTCTCACTTTTATCATATACAAAGCTTTATAGTACATGTGAGACATATTGATGACATGCCCAATGATGATAGCATCCTTGCGCACATAGAATGGTATGACATATCATGTGAAGAATTCTATGGGACCTTTGATATTTGACGCCATGTGGGTGTACATATCAGGGGGCTGAGGGCAGTCATCACTTTATGATTTATGTACATAGCTCACTTTTCATCAAGGGTACCTCAAAGCTATATTAATTGAGAAATCAAAAAACATTGATGCATCCCCACAAAAAAATCATATATTGTAAATTGATTGGGACTAAAGAGTCTATGCTGGAACTCATGCTCAGTACAAGAAGTTATTGTATACCTGCTAAAGTACTTTTTGGTTTAGTTATAGCTGCCTTGCCTGGTTAATGAACATTACAGAAATTATCATTTTTTTTATGTACTGATTTTATTATGTCACTCATCCATAAATGTGTCATTCAATTTTTTGTGAGTATGAGGAAGTGCATCGTTGTACGCCACAGCCTCGACCTCTTTTACGGCAAGCCTAACACAGAGAGAAATATTTCGTTGAATCTTGAAGCGAAAATAAACTCTGGCGGCGAGAATGGAGGAAGTGGTGCACAGCTACAGTCCAGTGAGTCAAGGGTCACACATGCATACAACACCACTCATTCACTTTAATGTATCCTCTAATTTGTCTTCTGTTTCAGTTATGTCAAGTTCATTATGATAACAACAGCGATGGACTGAGTATGAGTCAATTTCAGACATCTTTATTGGAGGAGTACGGAGAGTCCCACTTCAACGCTCATCATCATCCATTTCTCTATTTCAAAGTGTTGTTTCTAACAGCACAATTTGAGGCAGCTGTTGAGTTCCTCTCCAGGCGAGATAGACTCCGATGTCACGCCGTACATGTTGCCGCTGTCTTGTACGAACTTGGTTTTCTTGCATTACCCGTTAACATACAAGCACAGTTATGTAAGTTTTCGTCTTGTTAATACGGCTATTTTATCGTGATCTACCACCTCTATGCTTTCTCTTCAGATTTGTTCTCAAGATTTACTGAATATTCCAAAATGTAATTACATTATTATAAATGTGCTACATCATTGTCATTTACTTTTCACTTTTTTCTCAAGACCTACTTAACAGATTTCAATAACACTTGATTTGTAGATGGTCTGTAATAATTCACAGACCTGATTAGTTTTGTGTTACTATCTTTGAATATTAATCACCTAATTTGCATATTAATTAGTAAATTGTTAGTTCCGCCACTACTCATCAGATTTCAATGAACTAGATACATAGGTGCTCTGGTATAAGTCATATAATGTTTAGTTTAGTATAGTGTTAAATTATGTGCTTACTAATTACCTAATTTTCTACAGATATCTTGAGTACCACTCATCAAATTTCAATAAAAATTGGTACATAGGTGCTTTTGGAAAATTCACAGATTGATTATTTCGGGGTAGGAATCTGTATATTAATTACCCAACTTGTATAAATGGGTTCATATGACCTCATTAATATGCATAAGTGTAATATCTCAACCACTGCTGCAGATAATGACATGCCACAAGTGCTGTAGTCCTTTACTATTTGACAAGAGATACGACTAATGTTCCACATGTTCGTGTATGGTCATGTGACCTCATTAATATGCATAAGTGTAATATCTCAACCACTGCTGCAGATAATGACATGCCACAAGTGCTATAGTCCTTTACTATTTGACAAGAGATACGACTAACATTCCACATGTTCATGTATGGTCATGTGACCTCATTAATATGTATAACTGTAATATCTTAGACAAAGGCAATTCTGTGGTCAAAATAAGACATATTTCAAAGATTTTGCATGCAATAAATACAATTTTTGTTTTATGTGAATTCAAGATGTACTTCTAATATAGTAAATACAGTATTCCTTATTTGTACTTCATATCCCCAATACCCTACATGCGAGTTCTTTCTAAGCTTTCTTTGATTTTTTTTAATTGCTTGTAGGTATTGATCAGAAGTGTTGAAAAAAAATTTGAGAAAAGATAACAAATATTGATTTTGATGTTAAAACTGTCTCCCAGTGCGATTTTAATAGTCTGATTCTTGTTTCAGTGAGCCGAGAATCTACAGACCCAGTCCCAATCAGGAGACTCAATTGTGCCCGTCTTATCACAACATATACCAGAAAGTTTGAAAGTACCGATCCCATAGAGGCATTGCAGTATTTCTACCTTCTCAGGTAAAGAAGTGATGTGAGAGTTTATAAGAGTATAATTAACATTGATAGTTCCTCTCTACTGTTGCAACCAAGTTGAGAGACCATAACTACATGACAGAATTTATTGTAGTGTAGAGAATAATAATTTTGATGACATTACAACTTTAATGACCTTTTCTGATCTATAATCTCCAGCGTATACTGTGTAGAAATGACATAAGGTCATCGAGATGATAAAGAGTTGATTATCTTCTGCCCTATGATGATAACATCCTTGCGCACATAGAATGGTATGACATATCATGTGAAGAATTCTATGGGACCTTTGATATTTGACGCCATGTGGGTGTACATATCAGGGGGCTGAGGGCAGAAAGTGTTTTTCTTATATCAGTACTGGACACGTGTCTAAGTGGCAGTATTCCAGTGAACACTAACGGTAAACACCTTACTGATTCAGAATTTGAAATTTTATTACTACATATATACAACATATTTTTGTACTGTTACAGAAACATGAAAGACTCCAATCGTGAGAGTTTATTCATGAAGTGTGTTAGTGAGCTTGTTACTGAAACGAGGGAATTTGAAATGTTGTTGGGGCACTTGGAACGCGATGGTTGTCGGAAACCAGGTGCCATCGATAAGTTTCAGGATGATACTCAGAAAATTATTCAGCTTGTTGCCAGGGATACTGAAGACAAAGGACTTTTTGAAGATGCTGTCAAGTTGTATGATTTAGCTGGGGTAAGTTGCAGTCAATACCATGTACAGTGTATTATGTGATGCACATGGCCCGGTTAGAGTTGCATTTTCTGAAACATTTTGTTTGAAACTTTTGGCAAGTATTATGTGTAATATAATAAATGCAACAATTTTTGTATTTGCCAAAATGCTGAGTACTTGCGGATTCATTCGTGAGTGATTTTTTGCAGTATCTTATGGTGTCATGTTCACACCTACCATAAAAACTCTAATTTAGGCACCAGGGAAGAGTTACCTTAATTTAGTTCTGAAAATAGGAATCACAAACTGTTGAAACTTTTGAATCTGTCAAGCAAAAAAACAATTTTGGTATTTCCACATAACAAAAGATACTCATTAATATGTATAACTGTGATTTCAGTGTAATATGTATTGGTTTTAACTTTGTAACAAAAAGTATAGTCTAGACAATAACACAAATTCAACAATGTACTCTTGAATTGACGTCTGTAACTACAAAAAATCTAAATTACAATTTAGGTGTCAGGAAAGATGTTCGAAAAGTTATGCTTAAGTTTACAGTAATCTCATGCAAGATTGTCTGTTCAATAATGAAAAATGTTCCTCATTATAAAATCATATTTGATATGAAGAATTTTGTATTATGTACTCCAAAATCTATTTTTATGTACATTGCTCTATTCTGAATTCATAGGACTACTATTTTACTCATTTTACAAACTTTAAATTTTCGAACATTTACTACGCATCCAAAGCAGAATTCCAAAAGGTAATGCATGACAGAATTTATTCTAGTGAAGAGAACAATAATGTAGGTGATAAACGACTATCAGGTTTCATTCTGTATAACTCGACTCGCGAATGCCACAACTTTCAGGTTTTTGACCAAGTTACTGAAAATTGAATGGACTTTCAACGACAATACAGTACTACTTTAATGTGAAAGTTCTCTGACCTTACCTTACCTGACCTGACCTAACCGGCTTAGTCTTTTCCACGAAACGAAACCCTAACCCGCATTTTTTTTCATTGGCCTAATAATATCTGAGAAAATTTCACACTGTGAAACATGAAATGAATAGCGCCATCAGTGTTCAACAATTCCAAAATGGCTGTCACGTCATGTCAGCACAAATGAATCAAGCTGCAAAGTAGACGGAAAAGAGGTGGAAACTAAATATTCTCAACAAATTTATTTCTGTGACGTGACGATGTTTGAAGTCGTTCAAAATTTAAGGTTAGGGTTAGGGTTTTGTTTCATGGAAAAGACTAAGCTGACTTAAAGGCCCAGATATACTATAAATACGGTCCTAAACAATAGGGATTATTTCCTTGCTTGTCACGCTGTAGTAAACAGCTCCAGCCAAGCCCCGGTAATAGCGCGTTTTCTCGAACTTACAGGTCGATTATGTCATGCCAAAGTGGATGCATGCGACTATGAATATCACAGCAGTGACTGTGTGTAGTATTTATGACAATAAATAGTGTACGAGCTGAGATTTTGGCGGATAAAAGTCAAAAACTCGAACCGGGGAAAGGGACGCGCAACTAATCTTGAATAATTAACTACTGTCAATCAAAGTCACGTGATGTTGGACCGCTGAAACAGGATGCGTCCTAGGCTATGCAAGTGATTAACAACACTCATTAGCATAATCACACCTCCAATTCACACTTGCCCGGGGCAAGTGAATTGGGCCTTTAACTCGACCTGTAACCTCTGTTATTTTTGTTTTACAGAATCATGACAAGGTTCTTGAACTGTTAAATAAATTATTGTCTCCTTTGGTGTCTACTCCTAATAGTCCACAGTCTACAAGGGATCGGCTGAAAAACTTATCATTATCTATTGCAGAAAGGTTAGTTTTGTTTTCATCTGACAAACTTCTTCAGATCGGTTTGTTGAGTTATGTACTTTTCCGTATTTACCGAAAGTATGAACAAGAGGTTCATTTTGTATGGGCTTTGCGCATGTACAATAACCCTGAAAAGGGATTGGTTCATGGTATGCGTGAAAGTCAGGCATTGTATGACTGATCAAAGAATAATGCTTGTTCTCATAGATTATCTGTTAAGTATCAGCTTTCTTATAAGAGTTATTTGTGTATCCTTGAATACTAAGTATTTATTAGTATTATTTTTCCTTACTCTGATTATGCATACTGACGTGTTACCTATCATGTATTATAGATATCATGCACATGGTCACCATGCTAGTCAGTTGGTCACACCCACATTTTTTCTGCTATTAGACCTTGTTACATTCTTTGATCATTTTCATAGTGGAAATCTGGATGAAGCCATGGAGGTGAGTGTGGTTCATTTATTCTTCATCTTGTATGGAGAGTTGATGGATAAATCCAATCACTGTCACTCTACAAACTGCTAATATCATTTGATGCAACATATCGAGTGTGTATTGTTTGCTAATGCATCATAACATATTCGTTAATGCATCATAAAATTTGTTAATGCATCATATTACATCTATATGTCCATATTATTTATTGATGTACCATATTACTGTAGCTACTGGATTTGTTTATGCACCATATTACTTTTTGATGCGGCATATTTGTTAATGCATGCGCCATGTCATATTTTGACAGATCATTCAGCAACTAAAATTGGTGCCATTAACATTGGACTCGGTGGAACAGAGAGTACATGCATTCAAGCAGTATACTGATGAGGTACCTTTTCTTCTTTTCATCTAAACTGGTCTTTTTTTTTTAAATGTTTTATCAGAAATCACCATGCAGCTTTACAAAATGTAAACAAGTAACATCCTAGTTTGCTGGCCTATAATTCAACAGTGGATGGGGCCAATGTTGTGTATGAAAGGCTCTCACTTCTACAGTAGTTTATGCAAATTCATGTTTTTCATTACAGATAAGACATAACCTTGCTGCAGTTTTATTAGCCACAATGAATATACTGTACGCCCAGTATAAGAATGCCAGTAAGAGAACAATCAGAACTGGACTAAGAACGGAAGATGGTGGCAAGGAATCAGTAAGTTTTAGTATGAGACTCAAGTACAATAGCCTAAACAGGTTTTGTTATATACTGTGTCGTACAAGTTTCATGAATTAATCTACCGCCAAGTCTGATAATTAAACATGATGCTAGCTTTCAATTTAGAAAAACTAGTTTCAATTGTTTATTTCAATGGTTACTGTAATTGTGCTTTGATTTTCATTGCAGTATGTTAACTATTTACGAAAGCAAGCCAGAGCACTGATTACGTTTGCTGGCATGTTGCCGTACAGGATGCCCGGCGACACCAATGCCAGATTGGTCCAATTAGAAGTCTTGATGAATTAAGCAATCCACTAATGGGTGGACCAATAGCAACTTTTCGGATCGGTTATCAACAACAACTTAGCCATCACCCCAGAGTTTCTAATGGAAAAATAACTTTTGAACAAGAACTTAATCTACATAGTGCACAGGATGAAGCCAACATCTGCTTGCAACTATGGTAACACTTATCTTTCCACTTATTCTATTAAAAGATGTGAAAATTCAAGGTCACATTTTCTATTCAATGGCAGGAAGATTTTGCATATTTAAATCAAATGTTCTGAAACATTTGAAAAATGTTAAAATAATAGATTTCATCATAAGGCTTTGTCAACTGTACTGTTTTGATAACTAATAAAAGCTAGTTTTCATATCAATGTACTGCATGTGATTGTTTTACAAATTATAGTGCTAGTTCTCTCTTACCTCCTTTCTGCTTCATGTATGTATGAGTTTACCCATTACCTTTTCTGTCGCCAATTGTATCACAAGAACAGAAATATCAACCATTTAAAATTAATAAAAGAGCTTATTTTTACATAGAACCAAAGATTGTAAAAATAGTGCATATTTACCATAAAGTTGAATAAAACAAATTGAGGTGATATGTAAATGAAAATACTTGAAATAATTTGGCTATATTGTGAGGAGTGCCTGTTTAACATGTTTGATGTGATCGGTCCAAGCATGTCAGAGATGTAAAACAATTTAATTTCACTGGGTTTTAAGTTCACGAACTTGGCAGGGAGACAATGTCATCTTTACATGGATTTATCAACAAAAATAATGAAATTGCAAATTATGCATTTACAGTATTTGACACTCTGTTTGGGTTTTAGCCTTTAAAGGTGGCACCGGTTAAAACATTAAAAATTGAACTGTGATTCAGATATTCTCTAAAAGTTATTAAGCATGATAATATAACAACCTATAGATACAGGTAAATATGATAGTGTATGAGCGGTATCGATGTTTAAGGGTTGGCCAGTAAACGTTCACTGATTGTAGGCTATGACAAGCACACAGTAATAATATAATAAATGGTTTATTTAAAAAGTTAACGGCAATGAAATAATTGGTCATTTCACCTGAATAGCTACATATATAAAAATTCTCTTCAAGGTAAACCACCAACATTACAAATAGTGACAAACAAGAGCTGTCTGTGGTCTATCAGCATCTTTGATATTTGTAGGAAAATTAAATATAATTATTGGATGGAGACTGGTTAAATTGCCACTAACTAAGAAAGTATATGGTCATCAACTGTTCCTTTTCCTAGCAGTCAAAGAACAATCTTTTGACAACATACAGTGGAGGAAAGAATATAAATAATAAAGATCAAACTAACTCAAAATACAGCCATTCATAAATTCAGTTTTTCTAAATAGACTAATGACTGCAGTGTACATTAAAACTTAGTCTGGGTATAGAATGTTATAAAAAAAATAACATTGGAACCAAACTTTTATCAATTTTAAGTATAGATGCAAAACCGTTCTGAAAATTCTCAAATTACATTTGCTTAATGTGTAAATTTGTTTATACATGTATTACATACTTGCCAAATTTCACTAAACTTTTTGCTAAACGTGTCACAAAACTTGTGTATTTAAATTTCTTTGCCAGAATTCCGAATTAAATGATGTACATTAAAAGGAATGCAAGAAACATTGTACATGATTATCATGTGACATTGAAACTTTTCTCTAAACAAATTAGCACTGAGCTATTTTCTCCAGAAAATTTAAGTCAAATATTAATTTTGTTAAAGCATTAAGTTGCGCAAATGTGAAAATTGTTGATGCACAACTTGATGAGGTTGCAAATGGGACTTGAGCTGGAACACCGATTGAAAGGCATTCCTGTAAACAATGTTTTTGACCCTACAAATTAACTAGTCGGTGGTTCTAAATTCTGTGACGATATTTCTAATTGTTGTGAACATGGCGTAATGACAAATCCCGAGCTGAAATCTACTGTTCTACCTTCTTTCTCCTGAAAAGAAAACAACAAACATCACACTCAAACATTATGTAATGAGAATTTATATATCACTGAGATTTCCCAGCCAGAATACAGAACGTAAAACCCACCTAGTGCTTCTTAACCAATCAGAATACTGTTCCTGAGTGAGTCTGAGTTGTTTTTTTCCAGTCAAATCTATTTGTTCTCAGAAATTGTCCTAGGACTTATAGATCATGCAACATCAAAGATGCAACACTTACTAAGTTTTACTGTGCTAAAAACTACAAATATTGGATTCAAACTCTGAGCTCACACAACAGGTAATCTGACACTTAGTGCTGCCTGCCCTTTGAGCTATAGTATACAATGTAGGTTGTTTTGAGTTAGATCATGAATATTCATAAATTGTTATTATGCAGATCTTGCACAAAAGCACTATATTGGGTACACATGCTAGAATTTCATGAGGCAAATTTTATGAGAACAACTGCTAATTCCTAAAGGTTAACACGCATGCATACTCCAATTATGTAGTTGAGTCAAAGCATTTATACAAGACATACTTTGATATGTATGCAGAATCAAATGAAGGAAAAATTTTTTAAAATATATATTTAAACAATAATGAATCCCCAAAAGTGCCATATGGAATGAGGAGACAAGTCTTTAGCAAGATAATGTGTTTGGCTTCGCCTCATGCTTTGATTCATTATTGTTGTTATTAATCACGTGGTGGGTTTCAAGTTAGATATAGGCCTTGTAACAAGGACTCTTCTGAATAAGGACTCCCACCAATAAAATGTCTTTGCCTGAGGTCTCAACATTTAAATTTGGGTCAGACTTTACATCACCGAAGTTGTATGCTGTCACAAGTGCACACATGTTTGTACTCTACTGCTAAAAGCTAGAACCAATTCTACTTCATAAATTTGTCATCAAGAATACTATGACCCAAAACAAATAATATTTATTCGCAGAACCACTGGAGAGCCCCATAGTCATTTACCTTCATGATATGACTTGATAATTTAATTTACTTACCGCTTTATAATCTATGAACATTTCCTTAAATGAAATGAAATCACTGAATGTTAATAGTATTTCAAAGATTTCACCAGATAATTCATTTTGCCTTGTTCTGAAACAAACAATAACATGGTTAGTAAACTTTGTTGTTGACAGGTTTATGCCTATCATATTTACATTTATTTTGACAGCAAATTTCCAGGGAGAAGTCACAAACACATTGCTATTATAACATACAAGATAATAAGTGTTTAAGACATGATTATGTATTTCCTATAGACAGTCACACTTTTTTACGCTCTGTGTATGCAAAGATAAAATAACAGCAAAGATACTCACTGTAATTGTCTTGTAAATTCTGACATAACAAATCCAGGCATTCTGGCAGTTAATTTATCTTCTATGAATTTCTCTATAAGATCAGTCTATAAAATGAAAAAAACATGTGAGTAGGAAAAAATTTTAGTATTCAGATACAGCTTCTATGAACGTAACACAATAAATATAAACTAGAATATATATTACTTATAGATATCAAATCTCATTTGGCGAGGGCAGTATCCAGGCAATAACATTTTTATCACATGCCTCCAAAACAATCACAAAACAAAAATAACAAAATCCTGCCAAACTTGATTAGGCAAATGTTTCTATTCTTAAGCATGTATTAAATTTGTGTGAAAGTGAGACTCAAAAATATAATTTTATCTCAAATGTTAACTTCTAATCAATTTTGAAGATGAACCTTTGCACTATTGACTTGTATCTTCTACTTAGAAAGACTGTATGAAAACACAGAACTCCAGACAATCATCTGGTAGGATACAAGTTAGGTTTATATGACATCACACTGTCTTGATATTGATTTTTAAGAATACTTACATATTCTTTGAAAATATCTGTATAAATGAACTTATTTTCTTCTGTGTCTTCAAAATGTACATAATTTTTCTCCATGAAATTTTGCTGCATGTCTTGGAAATCGTCATCTACAAGAAGAGCAATATAATAAATATATTATTATAAATAATTTCATATTGATACTTTCTATTATTATACATCTGTCACAGCAACGCCATAAGTTACCTAGACAGTACGCCATCGCATCGACCTCCACTGCACGTCGCTCGATACTCCCGCTGTACTGTCTTCGTGCATACTTTGAGGTACCAGGGGTATCCTCATAATAACCTCATATTATATTAATCTCTCCATACCCACTCATTGGAGGTAAAATGTATTTGCTACAGCTTTTTTTTTTACTACAGCTCACACTTAAGGTAGAAACCTAGTCATCATTTTTGACAAAATTGGCCATAAATCGCATGACAATGTTCATTAGTTTATTATGTACAATCATGAAGCTTATGTCCCATGGTGCAATGAAATAGCATTATTTTGTGTGTTACAGTTATGCTTTTTGAGTAACGTGTCCTAATATTTCTTGAAAATTGCTATTTTTAGAACAATTCCATAGACCACAATGTTAAAGAAAAATTGCACTTTTTGACACTTTTTAAAACCCAGATTTTTTAAATAATTCAGAACAACAAAAAGTACTCCATCATTACCAATATATGATTTTTTCAGCCTATGTCACCAGGCTAGATTTTGAGATATTGCATAATATCTCTGCCATAGGAACCTGTGGTAAGAGTGTTATAATAGTGTCAAAGTGGTGACTTTCCACTAAATAACAACCATCAATTTCTTGAAAAAAAGGCTGGTGACCTCCAACTTTTTTTAGGTCAATAACCTTATATTGCCATTGCAAAATGAATAAATTCTGGGTTTTTAATTTATGAGTAGACTTCTACCTTAAGGTAGCGGGACTATTATTTGCATACTTGTTTTCATCTTCTAATTGTGACCAAATGACTACAAATAGACCCAGGAAAGTATATATTTTTAGAATCGCCAGACTTCAAGCTTTTCAAAGGTGTGTTTGCGATGCCCGTATCTGCATTCTACGATGCGTTACTCAATCAAAAGTGAAAAATTACTTTTTTTGTAAAAAATAATAATTACGGTACGCATTTATGCTGGTGATAAGAAGTTTTTTTTTCACTTTTCCTAGTTTTTCAATAGTCTGGTAAATTGAATGTGTCTGGTCAGTATTATTCAAGCAACGCGTTTCAAAAAGTAGTGTTCCGAATTTTAATTTCTGTTTTAGTCGCATTGCCCCCAACCTAAACCACGACACATTGGTAAATAATCCATGAAATAGTTTGTCTGGACACATTCAAGTTCCTCTCATTGTCACCTTAAAGCTGTGAAAATTTGGTGTTAATCCGACGACAATAAGTATACATTATTTTTTGTTAAAGACCTTGTATTTTGAAAAACATAAACTCCTAGAAAACGTCGATGAAGTCACAGCAATATTTTCAAGCTTGTTTATCTGCACAAGCGATTCGTTTTCCCATCAAGGTCTGTTTTAACATGTGTAGGAGCATCAAAATGTGTAAGGCTATTGGAAACCAAAAAAATAAAGGAATGGGATAGCTATAGTTCAATAAAATCGGCAGATGAAAACACCAAAATCATTGATTTTTTTCAGTGGCTGTGTGACCTTGTGTCTGACACATTCATATGCAAATGACTAATCTGTGAAATAAACAGGGGCGGAGACAAACCACTCAAATGTTTGGAAACACTAATTGTGTGTCAGATAGTTACTGATAACACATCCTAACATTGCTTTGTCTTGAGTTAATCTTTGAAACTTATAGGCACACAGATTAAACCTATGTTGTTGATTTTGGAAAACACTACTGAAGCTGCCTTGCTCCCCTTCAGAAAATCTACATTTCAACCAACTTACATGACATTCTAAGTTGCGTTGACTTGATCAGATGGAAGTCTATAGTGCATTTCATCAATTAATAAATAAATGTGAAAATCGTAATTTTCAACACAAATAATAGTCTTGCTACCTTAAAGCAGATCACTACTCACTATTACAGGAACATATACTTATGATTAATTTGTAAACCGGTAATACAGAATTCAGATCACATACCCATTATGATGTCTTCTATATGACCTATGGTCATGTCAAATTTGGTGTCAGATATACTAGAGCTGTGAAATTAATAAAACATAGAAAAAAATAAATATATGCAAGAAAAGAATCATTGAAATAAAGAACATAAGTATCGGTAGAAATTAATTTGTAATTTAGGCATTAGAACAGTCCATCTGAATTGTTTAACATCCAAATAAAAAACTAACAGGAACACTATATCATTAGTCAATGAGATTAATTGAACTATACTATAGTAGTGGCTTGGAAGTCAAGTGAACAGGGTTGTGGACTAGAAAGTATTAGCTTTGTGGGTTTGAATCACACCACTGGTAGAAGTAGAAAGGGTTTTCACAAGCGGTTGTACTTTCTGAGCAATTTTCATCGGCATAACAAGAAGATCATAGTTAGTATCAAATAAATATTAGATTATTATAGAACACAGTTGGCTTACCTAGAGGAGCACAAGTTTTCCTCTTGAAATTCCATGTCTTCAATATCGTCATTTCCTGCTCATAGTAAAAACAAAATTAGTGAATAAACTACAGACTGTCATGGTAAAGATAAACTCTTATCCTGCCAGCCCCATGTACATTGACTTGACTAGATAAGGGTTAATATTGGTACTTGACTTCCTATTACTACTTTTTCTGAGTATCTTCACAGGTTTTCAAATTACAGTTTTTCATGAATATCGTAATAACTAAAATATATTGCTCAGTGGAAACGTAAAGGAATGCAATTCTACCAATTAGACGTATTATGACATCCATATTTATATCAACCAGTGACAGAGAGCAAAATCCAAGTTCAGTGTTCACTACAGAGACTTCCAACAGACTGATCTTTAAACCACATACAGTACAAATAAAGACCAATACATGCAAGCACTGACACGTACTGTATTTAAAAGACCCCAAATGTAAACTGGTCAGTGATCAATTCACCTTCTTTGGACACTTCACCAGGTAAAACATGTTTTCAGCATTCTGTATTGGTCACTTGTCAGAACTTTATCGCAAATACAGCAATGAATGCTGTTTACAACATTATGATCTAAATGACCAGACCATTTGTAAGTCAACACTTGGCCTGCTAGAACATGATTAATTAGTGTGAAGACAATACAAATCATTGAAAATTGAAAATCAAAACTGTAAGCAAGTTAATTCTAAATAACTAAAAAAAAATTATATCATGAATAATCAAATAGAATATCATACAATGACAAATCAGAAATACAGCTACCAAACTCGTAGAAAAAGTACAAGAAAAGTTCACCAGCGAATCAAAACAACATGGCAAAGTATTTATTTTTTATGTTGTATAGCTAAAAGCAATTCAACGTCGACAGTGCTAGCTTGTATCTAGAACATTTTAGGCTAACAAATCGTAGATTATGTTGCCTGGTTACCGGACATCAGCCAAACGGCATCGTATAAGCAGAATTTGGCATTTGCATTGAATCAACGAAGGTCAGGTGACTTTAGAAATGAGCATAGTTGAATCATGAATAACCACACAGAAATCACAGTGTTACGGTATTTATCGTTCATGTTGTTTTTGTTTTGTTTTTTATAGGAAATGTCATCAGGTCGCTGATTATACTGTCATGCAATACATAATAACTACATTCTATGTACTAATTGCATTACGTGTGGTATTTGTGCCGATAGTATTTTTTTGGAAAATTGTTGGTGCATTTTATATCATGAGAAAAACATCTATAAATGAAAAAAAAGGCATCATTATTGTTGCGTGTTAACTATTCAGTATACAGATTCAAAAATAGTCGTTTATAACTTATAACGTTCATCTAGTGAAAAGTAAACAGTAAATAAACTGGCCGCCACGAATGCCAGATCGGGAACATACAACGATACAACACGTTCAGTTCAATACAAAATGACGTTGTTAGAGGTAATAATGCCAATTATTGTAAGACATAACATGAACACGGATTGGCTTTTAATTAAATACCATGGCTGAAACAGAAAATAAACGGTAAACCGAAATTTCACCCTGATAAATGTTGAAAGAGTTACTACGTTTGAACTTACCTATGTTGGAAGCCGCCATCTTGGTGTTACTGGTATGTAACAAATAGCGCAGAATGCGTGAAAAGATGAGTTCTCGTGAGAACTAGTATATAGCTGCTACGTTTCACCAAATTGCATATACCGATTTAAATATAAACGACATAATTCCTTTTGGTACTAATATACTTAAATAACAGTATATAGTCTGAAATCATCATGCAGAAATTGACAGATGTTAAATTGATTGTTATATTAAGTTTGAATACGCTGTTACAACAGGTCGCGTAGGTGGTGTAGTGGTTAGCATTGAAGCCTTCCAAGCTTTAGTCCCGGGTTCGATTCCCGGCCTACGCATCGATGAAAATTTTTTTCGCACATAAAGTTGCAAATGATATTTTTTTTTCTCACTGACAGTGAAAGAAATCTACTTTTCGGCTAATCCAAATCTTAAACGAATCTAGTTTTCTGCTAATGAAATTTTGCCCTAAGGGGTGGGCCATTAGAAACTTAATTTTGTGCTAATATTTTGTTTTCATAATGAGTTTGCTGTATTTTTTTTCTCTACTATGTGAAATACATTTACAACCTATATATATGATCCGTGGTACATCGCGGCCATTCCAGGATGTAAACTCGTTCTTACAATAAATTAAATACAACATTAGTATATTAGGCCCATTTTGTATGATATTTCCATTGTGTGCATGCGACACAAAACTTAATATATTGCCAAATATTTTGATTTCAATTATTTCCATGGGATACCAAATTTAGTATTTTTTTGGCAAATTTGTAATTCATTATCAGTATCAGTGTGTTTAAATTTCCGCGAATTAACATTATGACATTTTACGTCTGTCAAATAACGGCCAAATAAATACGTGGAATCATTAATCACTAAGAACCTAGCGTAGAATTGGAAATTACTCCAAATAAACAAATGTTCAATTCGGGAACAATATAATAGTATACATGTATTTGGTTATTGATGAAATAGTAGGGCGCCACCAGACGGTCTGGCTTAGCAAGTGCGTCGTGCTTCTTTCATGAAGTTGACGCTGATTGTGCACAAAGGAAGCCGCTCATCCCGCCATTGGATGGCGGCACATCGTGTATGTGGTGTTTACAAAGAACGTGGAGATGATCCGTGGTACATCGTGACCAATAATAAAATGATTGGTTGTCCAACTACTGGCGTGTCTTTTATTTCTGAGCTAAATGTGCAACCAAAGTCTCGCCATTTATTTTTAATGGATGTTCGACCATAGT